GTGACTTTCAAGGCAGAATTGACTTGGAACAGGATCCTGCAGGAGAAAGCACGATTAAGGGACATGCCGGCATACAGGAAGGTGTATCTCGACCGTGACAGAACACAAGAAGAAAGGCAGAAACTGAGAGAGATGGTACAAAGGCGAAAGGAGGAAAGAGAGGTGATGGAGAAGACAGGCAGGAGATCCCAGACACAGGAAGAAGATCAAATACAGCCTCCCTCACAACTTTCCTATAGAAGCCTCCCAACCAGGTCAACCCCAGTGTAACCAAGCACTTTTAACCAAAACATCCTTGCCGCATCCATTGCCCCCACCCACTGCATTACAAACTCCACCCCCACAGCAACCACCCATAGTTCCTTATCAGGTCTCCCACTTCCCCAACCCCAATACACCTCCCAGACCACAGTCTTAGAGAAGAAGTTGAAGGTGTGGTATACAAATGCAGATGGAATAACAAATAAGTATGAGGAGTGGCACGAAAGAATCAAGGAGACATCCCCAGACATAATAGCACTCACAGAAACAAAACTCGCCAGAATAATAACAGATTCAATCTTTCCATCCGGATATCAAATCCTCAGGAAAGACAGAGGGAGGAGAGGGGGAGGAGGAGTTGCACTACTCATTAAAAACCAGTGGGATTTTGAGAAAATGGAAGGAATGGATGGCACGGGCAAAAGGGACTACTTAGTAGGAACAATCCAGTCTGAGGGACATAAGATGATAATTGCAGTAATGTACAACTCACCACAGAACTGTAGGAGGCCAAGAGTAGAATACGATGAGAGCAACAGAGCAATGGTCGACATACTAGCCGAGGTGGCCAGGAGAGCACACATGGGGGGAGCAAAGTTACTAGTTAAGGGTGATTTCAATCACAAGGAGATTGACTGGGAAAACCTGGAGCCCCATGGGGGTCCCGAAACATGGAGAGCCAAGATGATGGATGTGGTACTGGAAAACCTCATGCATCAACATGTTAGAGACACTACCAGAGAGAGAGGAGAGGATGACCCAGCAAGACTGGACCTTGTATTCACCTTGAGTAGTTCGGACATTGAGGATATCATGTATGAATGGCCCCTGGAAGCTAGTCATCATGTGGTTCTGTGCTTCGACTACATAGTTGAGCTCCAAGTGGAGAGAGTAGCAGGAATAGGGTGGGAAAAACCAAACTACAAAAGGGGGAACTACTCAGGCATGAGGAACTTCCTTGAAAACATTCAGTGGGAGAGGGAACTGACAGGAAAACCAGTACAAGAAATGATGGACTATGTGGCAACAAAATGCAAGGAGGCAGAGGAGAGGTTTGTTCCCAAGGGAAACAGAAATAATGGGAAGAACAGAACGAGTCCTTGGTTCACCCAAAGGTGTAGGGAGGCAAAAACTAGGTGTACTAGAAAATGGAAAAGGTACAGAAGACAGAGAACTCAGGAAAATGAAGAGATTAGCCGAAGAGCCAGAAACGAATATGCACAGATAAGAAGGGAGGCTCAGCGACAATATGAAAATGACATAGCATCGAAAGTCAAGACTGAACCGAAGCTGTTGTACAGCCACATCAGGAGGAAAACAACAGTCAAGGACCAGGTAATCAGACTGAGGAAGGGTGATGGGGAATTCACAAAAAGCGATCGAGGGATATGTCAGGAGCTAAAGAAGTATTTACAGTGGAAACCAGTAGGACTCCAGGAAATCAGAACAGGGGGGGTACACCAGCAAGTGCTGGATGAGGTACATATAACCAAGGAGGAGGTGAAGAAGCTGTTATGTGAACTTGACACCTCAAAGGCGGTGGGACCAGACAACATCTCTCCATGGGTCCTTAAAGAGGGAGCAGAGATATTGTGTGTGCCATTAACAAATATCTTCAACACATCACTTGAACCTGGGCAACTCCCTGAGGTATGGAAGATGGCAAATGTAGTCCCAATTTTTAAAAAGGAAGACAGACATGAGGCACTAAACTACAGACCTGTATCACTAACGTGTATAGTATGCAAGGTCATGGAGAAGATCATCAGGAGGAGAGTGGTGGAGCACCTGGAAAGAAACTAAGTGTATAATTGACAACCAGCACGGTTTCAGGGAAGGAAAATCCTATCACAAACCTACTAGAGTTTTATGACAAGGTGACAGAAGTAAGACAAGAGAGAGAGGGGTGGATCGACTGCATTTTTTTGGACTGCAAGAAGGCCTTCGACACAGTTCCTCACAAGAGGTTACTGCAAAAGCTAGAGGATCAGGCACACATAACAGGAAAGGCACTACTATGGATCAGAGAATACCTGACAGGGAGGCAACAACGAGTCATGGTACGTGACGAGGTGTCAGAGTGGGCGCCTGTGACAAGCAGGGTTCCACAGGGGTCAGTCCTAGGACCTGTGCTGTTCTTGGTATATGTGAGCGACATAACGGAAGGGATAGACTCAGAAGTGTCCTTGTTTGCAGATGATGTGAAGTTAATGAGAAGAATCAAATCTGATGAGGATCAGGCAGGACTACAAAGTGACCTGGACAGGCTACAAGCCTGGTCCAGCAACTGGCTCCTTGAGTTTAACCCTGTCAAGTGCAAAGTCATCAAGATTGGGGAAGGGCAAAGAAGACCGCAGACACAATATAATTTAGATGGCCAAAGACTGCAAACCTCACTCAAGGAAAAAGATCTGGGGGTGAGTATAACACCGAGCATATCTCCTGAGGCGCACATCAATCAGAAAACTGCTGCAGCATACGGGCGCCTGGCAAACGTACGGATAGCGTTCCGATACCTCAGTAAGGAGTCGTTCAAGACTCTGTATACCATTTACGTCAGGCCCATACTGGAGTATGCAGCACCAGTTTGGAATCCACACCTAGTCAAGCACGTCAAGAAATTAGAGAAAGTGCAAAGGTTTGCAACGAGACTAGTCCCAGAGCTACGGGGATTGTCCTACGAAGAAAGGTTGAGGGAAATCGGCCTGACGACACTGGAGGACAGGAGGGTCAGGGGAGACATGATAACTACATATAAAATACTGCGCGGAATAGACAAGGTGGACAAAGAGGGGATGTTCCAGAGAAGGGACACAGACACAAGAGGTCACAGTTGGAAGTTGAAGACTCAGATGAATCAAAGGGATGTTAGGAAGTATTTCTTCAGTCATAGAGTAGTGAGGCCGTGGAATAGCCTAGAAAGTGACGTAGTGGAGGCGGGAACCATACATAGTTTTAAGGCGAGGTATGATAAAGCTCATGGGGCAGGGAGAGAGAGGACCCAGTAGCAATCAGTGAAGAGGCAGGGCCAGGAGCTGAGTCTCGACCCCTGCAACCACAATTAGGTGAGTACACACACACACACACACACACACACACACACACACACACACACACACACACACACACACACACACACACACACACACACACACACACACTCACACAAATGAGTCATAGGGATGTTAGTAAGTATTTCTTCAGCCATAGAGTTGTCAGGAAGTGGAACAATCTGGAGAGTGATGTAGTGGAGGCAGGATCCATACATAGCTTTAAGAAGAGGTATGATAAGGCTCTTAGAGCAGGGAGAGAATAGACCTAGTAGCGACCAGCGAAGAGGCGGGGCCAGGACCTGTGACTCGACCCTTGCAATTGCAAATAGGTGAGTACACCCACACAAACACAGCATTAACGAACCTGCCGTCTTCACTCCATCACCACCATCACTATCAACACTCCTTCACGTTACCAGAGCACATCTTCCATCAGTGTGTGTGATGGGATGGTGGGTGTGCAGGGTGTGGGTGTTCTCTGGGTGGTGGGTGTTCAGGGTGTGGGTGTTCTCTGTGGCGTGGGTGTACAGGGTTTGGGTGTTCTCTGGGTGGTGGGTGTGCAGGGTGTGGGTGTTCTCTGGGGCGTGGGTATTCTCTGGGTGGTGGGTGGCAGCGGGACCCAGGGTAGGCTGGGTACTGGTGGTCATCACCACCAACACTCCTCTAACACCAACACTAATTGGCGCAAGGCGCCTCTCCTCGTTATTTCTTTATCTAAGCCATCATCACCACCACTGCTACTGAGTAATGACCACCACCACTAGCACCATCACCGCCACCATCATCACCACCACCACTACCAAAACTATCACCTCCACTACTAGCTCCATCACCACGACCACTAGCACCATCACCACTACCATTAGGACCATCACCACCACTAACACGATCACCACTACCATTAGGACCATCACCACTAGTACTATTACCATCACCACCACATTAGGACGATCACCACTACCACTAGGACCATCATCACCACTACTAGGACCATCACCACTACCACTAGCACTATCACCACCTCTAGTACCATCACCACCACCACTAGCACCATCACCACCACCACTAGCACCACACACCACACCTAGCACACTACACCACACCATCATACCACCACTGCACCATCACTACCACCACATACCACCATCACACTACCCACTACCACTATCACCACTCTAGACCATACACCAGCACTGCACCATCACCACTCACCATCACCAGCACACACCACCACCACTAGCCACCACCACCATACACCATAGCACACCATCACCATCACCACACCTATCACCACCATCACCACACCAGTCACACAGCACCATCACACCACACCACACTACACCATCACCACCACCACACACACCACAGCACCATCACACCACCACTAGCACCACCACCACTACCAGCACCATCACCAACCACCACAGCACCATCACCACACCATCACCATCACCATCACAAGCACCATCACCACAACCACCACTAGCACAATCACCACCAGCACCATCACCACCAGCACCATCACTACCACCACTAACACCACCACCACTACTAGCACCATCACCAGCACCAGTAGCACCATCACCACCACCAGTACCAGCACCATCGCCACCACTACTAGCACCATCACCAGCACCATCAACACAGAGTGTGGTCTCTCATCCCGTGTCTCTGCTCCCCCGTCAGGAGGTCACTTGGTCAACACCAACTGCTCAGCGTCACACAACAGACGGGCACTCTGCTGTAAGATGGCCAGTGAGTTCGATGCGTTCCTGCAGAGCAACAAGAGGTAAGTCTTCCTCAACCTCTCTCCACTCTCTTCCTTCTCCCTGTATTCGTTTCTTTTGATAAATCACTGGTTAAGATTTTTTCTTCTCTGCCTCTTCCTACCTTCGTAAGTCTTCCTTTCTTCTACTTCTTTGTTTTTAACCCGTTTATTCTTATTATCTACATTTCTAACTTCTTAAGAAAATAACAAGGAATGCGCTACGGCAATAGGCCTACGGGCAAAAAAAAAAAAAAATAAGATCACTAGACATAGCAATAAAAGTCAGCACATGCATCTACAATTCTCTAAACAACAGAACATAAAGAATAATTATAAAGAGTGTAAAATACAGCCTTAGCAGTGTAAGACTGGGTACCCCGAGGCGCTCTCCTACTCCCTCTCTTGTTTTTTCTCATAACTTAGATAACAACACATGCCACTGGGGGAGTTGAATGATAGTTCTAGGCCTTTCACGTTGCAATCAACACATCATCAGGAGCTTGCAATGTTGCAGGAATGAGTAAGAGATCCCATAGAGAGAGAGAGAGAGAGAGAGAGAGAGAGAGGTACAGTGTAGAAGACACTGTAACTGCTGGAGACACACAGTGGTGTCACTGTACCAGCAAGTCCAAGAAGTTTATTGTCAACAATTAACCTCTTTGTATATTTTCCTGGTAAGCAGATCACCTGTGAGTGGTGTGTGCATGTGTACTTATCTGTTTGTATTCAGCAGTTAACGAGGGTTGTGTTCTGGCTCCTGAGTTCTGGTTCATCAGCAGCCATTGCTGGAGTCTGTGTGAGTGTGAGTGTGTGTGTGTGCACCCCCAGGGTGCACCTGGGGCAGTCTCTGAACAATGGCCACCATGCTCCATTTCTCTGTTATTGTGGAGTTTGGCTGCTGTTCCTGCTCTCCCTTCTCTCTGCTCGACTACCTCTTCTCTCCTTTCTCTGTGCCCCGGCTCCCTTGTTGCACCACCTTGTTGCACCACCTTGTTGCACCACCTTGTTGCACATCACTCACCACAGCCTCACTCACACAGTCGTCACCACACCTGGTCTTGAAGGGCGGGTCGGAGAAAAAAAGAAGTTTAAAGGTAATTACCAACATCCTGTGTAGGTGAGCAGCTGTTGGTGTTCCCTGGTGTTCCATGGTATGTAACTACAACACCAGCACTCACACACGTGTTGCTGGTGTTTCCTGGTGTGTTGACTACAATACCAACACTCACACAGGTTTTGCTGGTGTAGAATGAGAATAAGTGTAGAATGTAGAATGAGATGTGTGTCTTGCCTGTGAGCATCTTTTAAACATAGGGTAATAAATCTTATTCAGGAACATCTTGCAGAGCAGAATGATGAGTCTTCCTCAGCCACGAGTCTCAGGAAGCTAAAGTTGCAGTCTTCCTCAGTGGAACGTCTGTAAAGAGGTTTTCAGAGTAAGAAGTTTTAGAAGTGCAGTTGGGGCTTAATTCTCGTGATTCTGGTCGGCGCCTTGCCAGCTTCCTTCCAGTGTCTGGCTCACTGGAAGGAGCTGCAAGTTGCTTCCAGGAGTGTGTCGTAGAATATAAGGCTGGAGGAGCACTGCAGTAGGCCAACTGGCCCATGCTAGGCAGGTCTTAAAAGCAAATGAAATCAGAGTGTTTACCTGTGTGTTGCCCCCTTGTTGTTGCTATGTGGTAACTACCCCCTTGTTGTTGCTATGTGGTAACTACCCCCTTGTTGTTGCTAGGTGGTAACTACCTCCTTGTTGTTGCTAGGTGGTAACTACCTCCTTGTTGTTGCTATGTGGTAACTACCCCCTTGTTGTTGCTAGGTGGTAACTACCTCCTTGTTGTTGCTAGGTGGTAACTACCCCCTTATTGTTGCTAGGTGGTAACTACCTCCTTGTTGTATGTAAAGTAAAAGGACACAAGTGCAACTAATGTGACATTTTATTGTGGCAACGTTTCGCTCTCCAGGAGCTTTGTCAAGCCGATACAAACAGTATATGGACACAGAGGGTATATAAAAGCTCAGAGTGAGGTGCAATACTAGTGAGGTACCATTTAGATGTTCACTAGTGGTAGTGGTAGTAGTGGTAGTAATGACAAAAGTTGTAGTGGTAGTAGTAATACAATATGGTAGAGCAATTAATTCGTACATGAGTAAAAGGATATAAAAGCTATTACTTGGGTAACATAAAAATAGGTTGGACAAATATAGACTGGAAAGAGGCAGCTTGTTTCAGTGTTCACTCTCTGTGCTTTGTGTAGTATAACAGGAGAGACTATGTGATGGCAGGGTTTACTGTTTTCAGGAGGATTCTTGCTAAGACTTCAGAGATGGTGAAGCTGCCGTTGTTTTGTTTAATTGTATTCGAAACAGCGATCAGTGCTGATTCAAGGCACTTGCGTCTGCGGAAATTAGTCTCTTTGATGACTAATTGGGCGTCCCTGAAGCCTTTATATACCCTCTGTGTCCATATACTGTTTGTATCGGCTTGACAGAGCTCCTGGAGAGCGAAACGTTGCCACAATAAAATGCCACATTAGTTGCACTTGTGTCCTTTTACTTTACATATTGTCGGTAATTCTACCAACATTATTACACTACCTCCTTGTTGTTGCTATGTGGTACCTACCTCCTTGTTGTTGCTGTGTGTTAACTACCCCCTTGTTGTTGCTATGTGGTAACTACCTCCTTGTTGTTGCTATGTGGTAACTACCCCCTTGTTGTTGCTGTGTGTTAACTACCCCCTTGTTGTTGCTATGTGGTAACTACCTCGTTGTTGCTATGTGGTAACTACCCCCTTGTTGTTGCTATGTGGTAACTACCTCCTTGTTTTTGCTAGATGGTAACTACCCCCTTCTTGTTGCTGTGTGTTAACTACCTCCTTGTTGTTGCTATGTGGTAGCTACCCCCTTGTTGCTATGTGGTAACTACCTCCTTGTTTTTGCTAGATGGTAACTACCTCCTTGTTGTTGCTCTGTGGTAACTACCTCCTTGTTGTTGCTAGATGGTAACTACCCCCTTGTTGTTGCTAGATGGTAACTACCCCCTTGTTGTTGCTAGATGGTAACTACCTCCTTGTTGTTGCTAGGTGGTAACTACCTCCTTGTTGTTGCTAGATGGTAACTACCTCCTTGTTGTTGCTAGATGGTAACTACCTCCTTGTTGTTGCTAGGTGGTAACTACCCCCTTGTTGTTACTAGATGGTAACTACCCCCTTGTTGTTACTAGATGGTAACTACCTCCTTGTTGTTACTAGATGGTAACTACCCCATTTTTTGTTGCTAGATGGTAACTACCCCTTGTTTTTTGCTAGAGGGTAACTACCCCCTTTGTTGTTGCTAGATGGTAACTACCCCCTTGTTGTTGCTAGATGGTAACACCCCTTGTTGTTACTAGATGGAAAACTACCTCCTTGTTGTTGCTAGATGGTAACTACCTCCTTGTTGTTGCTAGATGGTAACTACCCCCTTGTTGTTGCTAGATGGTAACTACCCCCTTGTTGTTACTAGTTTGGTAACTACCCCCTTGTTGTTGCTAGGTGGTAACTACCCCCTTGTTGTTGCTAGATGGTAACTACCCCCTTGTTGTTACTAGATGGTAACTACCCCCTTGTTGTTGCTAGATGGTAACTACCCCCTTGTTGTTGCTAGTTTGGTAACAAACCCCTTGTTGTTGCTAGATGGTAACTACCCCTTGTTGTTGCTAGGTGGTAACTACCCCTTGTTGTTGCTAGATGGTAACTACCCCTTGTTGTTACAGATGGTAACTACCCCCTTGTTGTTGCTAGATGGTAACTACCCCTTGTTTTTACAAGATGGTAACTACCCCCTTGTTGTTGCTAGATGGTAACTACCCCCTTGTTGTTACTAGATGGTAACTACCCCCTTGTTGTTGCTAGATGGTAACTACCTCCTTGTTGTTGCTAGATGGTAACTACCCCCTTGTTGTTACTAGATGGTAACTACCCCCTTGTTGTTGCTAGTGGTAACTACTCCCTTGTTGTTAGCTAGATGGTAACTACCCCCTTTTGGGTTACTAGATGGTAACTACCCCCTTGTTGTTACGGGATGGTAACTACCCCCCTTTGTTGTTACTAGATGGTAATTTACCCCCTTGTTGTTGCTAGATGGTAACTACCCCCTTGTTGTTGCTAGATGGTAACTACCCCCTTGTTGTTGCTAGATGGTAACTACCCCCTTGTTGTTGCTAGATGGTAACTACCTCCTTGTTGTTGCTAGATGGTAACTACCCCTTGTTGTTGCTAGATGGTAACTACCTCCTTGTTGTTGCTAGATGGTAACTACCCCCTTGTTGTTGCTAGATGGTAACTACCTCCTTGTTGTTGCTAGGTGGTAACTACCCCCTTGTTGTTGCTAGATGGTAACTACCTCCTTGTTGTTGCTAGGTGGTAACTACCTCCTTGTTGTTGCTAGATGGTAACTACCCCCTTGTTGTTGCTAGATGGTAACTACCTCCTTGTTGTTGCTAGGTGGTAACTACCCCCTTTGTTGTTACTAATGGTAACTACCCCCTTGTTTGCTAGGTAGTAACTACCCCCTTGGGTGTTACTAGATGGTAACAAACCCCCTTGTTGTTACTAGATGGTAACTAACCCCTTGTTGTTGCTAGATGGTAACTCCCCCCCTTGTTTTACTAGATGGTAACTACCCCCTTGTTGTTACTAGATGGTAACTACCCCCTTGTTGTTGCTAGGTGGTAACTACTCCCTTGTTGTTGCTAGATGGTAAGTACCCCCTTGTTGTTACTAGATGGTAACTACCCCCTTGTTGTTGCTAGATGGTAACTACCCCCTTGTTGTTGCTAGATGGTAACTACCCCCTTGTTGTTGCTAGATTTTAACTACTCCCTTGTTGTTGCTAGATGGTAACTACCCCCTTGTTGTTACTAGATGGTAACTACCCCCTTGTTGTTGCTAGATGGTAACTACCCCCTTGTTTTTGCTAGTGGTAACTACCTCCTTGTTGTTGCTAGATGGTAACTCCCTCCTTGTTGTTGCTAGAGGGTTTAACTACCCCTGTTGTTGCTAGATGGTAACTACCCCCTTGTTGTTACTAGATGGTAACTACCCCCTTGTTGTTGCTAGATGGTAACTACCCCCTTGTTGTTGCTAGATGGTAACTACCCCCTTGTTGTTGCTAGATGGTAACTACTCCCTTGTTTTTTGCAGATGGTAACTACCCCCTTGTTGTGCTAGATGGTAACTACCCCCTTGTTGTTACTAGATGGTAACTACCCCTTGTTGTTACTAGATGGTAACTACCCCTTGTTGTTACTAGATGGTAACTACCCCCTTGTTGTTGCTAGGTGGTAACTACCCCCTTGTTGTTCCCTAGGTGGTAACTACCTCCTTGTTGTTGCTAGGTGGTAACTACCTCCTTGTTTTGCTAGAGGGTAACTACCTCCTTGTTGTTGCTAGGTGGTAACTACCCCCTTGTTGTTGCTAGGTGGTAACTACCCCCTTGTTGTTGCTAGGGGGTAACTACCTCCTTTTTGGGTTGCTAGTGGTAACTACCCCCCTTGTTGTTGCTAGATGGTAACTCCCTCCTTGTTGTAGCTAGGGGGAAACCTACCTCCTTGTTGTTGCTAGGTGGTAACTCCCCCCCCTTGTTTGTTGCTAGATGGTAACTACCTCCTTGTTGTTGCTAGGTGGTAACTACCTCCTTGTTGTTGCTAGGTGGTAACTACCTCCTTGTTGTTGCTAGGTGGTAACTACCTCCTTGTTGTTGCTAGATGGTAACTACCCCCTTGTTGTTGCTAGGTGGTAACTACCTCCTTGTTGTTGCTAGGTGGTAACTACCTCCTTGTTGTTGCTAGGTGGTAACTACCTCCTTGTTGTTGCTAGGTGGTAACTACCTCCTTGTTGTTCTAGTTGGTACTACCTCCTTGTTGTTGCAAAGGTGGTTAACTAACCTCCTTTTGTTGCTAGGTGGAAACTACCTCCTTGTTGTTGCCTAGTGGTAACTACTCCTTGTTTGTTGCTAGGTGGTAACTACCTCCTTGTTGTTGCTAGGTGGTAACTACCTCCTTGTTTCCCTGAGTGTCACCTGTGTCTTTCCCCCCCCCAATACCACTGTACAGATCATAGTGCCAACTTCTTTCCTCTACGCCACTGATGGTGCCACTGATGCTAACCCTGAGTGCCACTCTCACACACCAGTTTTCACCTGGCACTCTCACACACCAGTCTTCACCTGGCACTTTCACACAAGTCTTCACCTGGCACTCTCTCCTGGCACAGGTGGTGGTGTCATTTCGACGACGATAACTACGTAAACGTGCCGCAGCTGGTGACTACCCTTGCTGACTACGACCCACAACAGGACTGGTACCTGGGCAAGCCTTCCATCCGTGCTCCGCTGGAGATCATCAACAGAGACAACGTCTCGGTAAGTCTTGTTTCCCGTTGATACTGTTGCTCGCTAGTGGTCTGTTATTGCGGCTGTCGGGAGTGTGACAGCCTGGCTTGTCAATCAGGCTGTCGGCAGGTAGGACTGGTCTGGGAACTGGGTGCAGGGGCGATGGTCTCCTGTAACACATGAACCACAGCTATCAATGGGGATACTGTTGATAAGTACCGGTCTGATAGTACCGTTACTGATAGTCACCACAGGTACAGTAGTCACCACAGGTACAGTAGTCACCACAGGTACAGTAGTCACCACAGGTACAGTAGGCACAACAAGCACTACAGGTACGCCGAGTACAACAGGCACAACAGATACAACAGGCACAACAGGTACAACAAGCACAACAGGTAAAACAGGCACAACAGGTAAACAGGTACAATAGGCACAACAGGTACAACAGGCACAACTTATACAACAGGTACAATAGGCACAACAGGTACAACAAGCACAACAGGTACAACAGGCACAACAGATACAACAGGCACAACAGGTACAACAGGCACAACAGGTAAAACAGGCACAACAGGTAAACAGGTACAATAGGCACAACAGGTACAACAGGCACAACTTATACAACAGGTACAATAGGCACAACAGGTACAACAGGCACAACTTATACAACAGGTACAATAGGCACAACAGGTACAACAGGCACAACAGGTACAACAGGCACAACTTATACAACAGGTACAATAGGCACAACAGGTACAACAGGCACAACAGGTACAACAGGCACAACTTATACAACAGGTACAATAGGCACAACAGGTACAACAGGCACAACAAGTACAACAGGCACAACAGGAACAACAGGTACAACAGGCACAACAGGTACAACACGCACAACAGGTACAACAGGCACAACAGGCACAACAGGTACAACAGGCACAACAGGCACAACAGGTACAACAGGCACAACAGGTACAACAGGCACAACAGGTACAACAGGCACAACAGGTACAACAAGCACAACAGGTACAACAGGCACAACAGGTACAACAGGCACAACAGGTACAACACACACAACAGGTACAACACACACAACAGGTACAACACACACAACAGGTACAACACACACAACAGGTACAACACACACAACAGGTACAACACACACAAACAGGTACAACACACACAACAGGTACAACACACACAACAGGTACAACACACACAACAGGTACAACACACACAACAGGTACAACACACACAACAGGTACAACACACACAACAGGTACAATACACACAACAGGTACAACACACACAACAGGTACAACACACACAACAGGTACAACACACACAACAGGTAACACACACAACAGGTACAACACACACAACAGGTACAAATACACACAACAGGTACAACACACACAACAGGTACAACACACACAACAGGTACATTAACTCTTTATTTAATTCAATTGCTTTAAAACCTCTGTTGTTGTTGTTGTTGTTGTTGTTGTTGTTGTTTTCCGTTAAGGTTAATGTTCACACTTTTTCTGTTGTTCTTAGATGAACGCAGAACAACAGTAGTGTGTCTGTTACAGCAGCAGGTCTGCCACCACCATCAACACGACATTGCGACATTTACCACATTTAATTAAGAGACGTTTTGCCCACTTTGGGGGTGGGGGAGGTGACTGTTTCTCTCCTGTACAGAAAAGAGAGAAAAAAATATAGCAGAATATATATCATATATATCATCACATGCTGGGGCAGGTTCCTGAGCCACACCCTGGGTGGTGAGACAGGCAGGTTCCTGAGCCACACCCTGGGTGGTGAGACAGGCAGGTTCCTGAGCCACACCCTGGGTGGTGAGACAGGCAGGTTCCTGAGCCACACCCTGGGTGGTGAGACAGGCAGGTTCCTGAGCCACACCCTGGGTGGTGAGACAGGCAGGTTCCTGAGCCACACCCTGGGTGGTGAGACAGGCAGGTTCCTGAGCCACACCCTGGGTGGTGAGACAGGCAGGTTCCTGAGCCACACCCTGGGTGGTGAGACAGGCAGGTTCCTGAGCCACACCCTGGGTGGTGAGACAGGCAGGTTCCTGAGCCACACCCTGGGTGGTGAGACAGGCAGGTTCCTGAGCCACACCCTGGGTGGTGAGACAGGCAGGTTCCTGAGCCACACCCTGGGTGGTGAGACAGGCAGGTTCCTGAGCCACACACCTGGGTGGTGAGACAGGCAGGTTCCTGAGCCACACCCTGGGTGGTGAGACAGGCAGGTTCCTGAGCCACACCCTGGGTGGTGAGACAGGCAGGTTCCTGAGCCACACCCTGGGTGGTGAGACAGGCAAGGTTCCTGAGCCAACACCCTGGGTGGTGAGACAAGCAGGTTCCTGAGCCACACCCTGGGGTGGTGAGACAGGCAGGTTCCTGAACCACACCCTGGGTGGTGAGACAGGCAGGTTCCTGAGCCACCCCTGGGTGGTGAGACAGGCAGGTTCTGAGCCACACCCTGGGTGGTGAGACAGGCAGGTTCCTGAGCCACACCTGGGTGGTGAGACAGGCAGGTTCCTGAGCCACACCTGGGTGGTGAGACAGGCAGGTTCCTGAGCCACACCCTGGTGGTGAGACAGGCAGGTTCCTGAGCCACACCCTGGGTGGTGAGACAGGCAGGTTCCTGAGCCACACCCTGGGTGGTGAGACAGGCAGGTTCCTGAACCACACCCTGGGTGGTGAGACAGGCAGGTTCCTGAGCCACACCCTGGGTGGTGAGACAGGCAGGTTCCTGAGCGCCACACCCTGGGTGGTGAGACAGGCAGGTTCCTGAGCCACACCCTGGGTGGTGAGACAGGCAGGTTCCTGAGCCACACCCTGGGTGGTGAGACAGGCAGGTTCCTGAGCCACACCCTGGGTGGTGAGACAGGCAGGTTTCCTGAGCCACATCCTGGGTGGTGAGACAGGCAGGTTCCTGAGCCACACCCTGGGTGGTGAGACAGGCAGGTTCCTGAGCCACACCCTGGGTGGTGAGACAGGCAGGTTCCTGAGCCACACCCTGGGTGGTGAGACAGGCAGGTTCCTGAGCCACACCCTGGGTGGTGAGATAGGCAGGTTCCTGAGCCACACCTGGGTGGTGAGACAGGCAGGTTCCTGAGCCACACCCTGGGTGGTGAGATAGGCAGGTTCCTGAGCCACACCTGGGTGGTGAGACAGGCAGGTTCCTGAGCCACACCCATGGGTGGTGAGACAGGCAGGTTCCTGAGCCACACCCTGGGTGGTGAGACAGGCAGGTTCCTGAGCCACACACTGGGTGGTGAGACAGGCAGGTTCCTGAGCCACACCCTGGGTGGTGAGATAGGCAGGTTCCTGAGCCACACCCTGGGTGGATGAGACAGGCAGGTTCCTGAGCCACACCCTGGGTGGTGAGACAGGCAGGTTCCTGAGCCACACACCTGGGTGGTGAGACAGGCAGGTTCCTGAGCCACACCCTGGGTGGTGAGACAGGCAGGTTCCTGAGCCACACCCTGGGTGGTGAGACAGGCAGGTTCCTGAGCCACACCCTGGGTGTGAGACAGGCAGGTTCCTGAGCCACACCCTGGGTGGTGAGACAGGCAGGTTCCTGAGCCACACCCTGGGTGGTGAGACAGGCAGGTTCCTGAGCCACACCCTGGTTGGTGAGACAGGCAGGTTCCTGAGCCACACCCTGGGTGGTGAGACAGGCAGGTTCCTGAGCCACAACCCTGGGTGGTGAGATAGGCAGGTTCCTGAGCCACACCCTGGGTGGTGAGACAGGCAGGTTCCTGAGCCACACCCTGGGTGGTGAGACAGGCAGGTTCCTGAGCCACACCCTGGGTGGTGAGACAGGCAGGTTCCTGAGCCACACCCTGGGTGGTGAGACAGGCAGGTTCCTGAGCCACACCCTGGGTGGTGAGACAGGCAGGTTCCTGAGCCACACCCTGGGTGGTGAGACAGGCAGGTTCCTGAGCCACACCCTGGGTGGTGAGATAGGCAGGTTCCTGAGCCCCACCCTGGGTGGTGAGACAGGCAGGTTCCTGAGCCACACCCTGGGTGGTGAGACAGGCAGGTTCCTGACCACACCCTGGTGGTGAGACAGGCAGGTTCCTGAGCCACACCCTGGGTGGTGAGACAGGCAGGTTCCTGAACCACACCCTGGGTGGTGAGACAGGCAGGTTCCTGAGCCACACCCTGGGTGGTGAGACAGGCAGGTTCCTGAGCCACACCCTGGGTGGTGAGACAGACAGGGTCCTGAGCCACACCCTGGGTGGTGAGACAGGCAGGTTCCTGAGCCACACCCTGGGTGGTGAGACAGGCAGGTTCCTGAGCCACACCCTGGGTGGTGAGACAGGCAGGTTCCTGAGCCACACCCTGGGTGGTGAGACAGGCAGGTTCCTGAGCCACACCCTGGGTGGTGAGACAGGCAGGTTCCTGAGCCACACCCTGGGTGGTGAGACAGGCAGGTTCCTGAGCACACCCTGGGTGGTTGAGACAGGCAGGTTCCTGAGCCACACCCTGGGTGGTGAGACAGGCATGTTCCTGAGCCACACCCTGGGTGGTGAGACAGGCAGGTTCCTGAGCACACCCTGGGTGGTGAGACAGGCAGGTTCCTGAGCCACACCCTGGGTGGTGAGACAGGCAGGTTCCTGAGCCACACCCTGGGTGGTGAGACAGGCAGGTTCCTGAGCCACACCCTGGGTGGTGAGACAGGCAGGTTCCTGAGCCACACCCTGGGTGGTGAGACAGGCAGGTTCCTGAGCCACACCCTGGGTGGTGAGACAGGCAGGTTCCTGAGCCACACCCTGGGTGGTGAGACAGGCAGGTTCCTGAGCCACACCCTGGGTGGTGAGATAGGCAGGTTCCTGAGCCACACCCTGGGTGGTGAGACAGGCAGGTTCCTGAGCCACACCCTGGGTGGTGAGACAGGCAGGTTCCTGAGCCACACCCTGGGTGGTGAGACGCAGGTTCCTAAGCCACTCCCTGGGTGGTGAGACAGGCAGGTTCCTGAGCCACACCCTGGGTGGTGAGACAGGCAGGTTCCTGAACCACACCCTGGGTGGTGAG